GTATCCTCACCTCCCCCAATCACAGGCTGTGCTCTGGCTATGTCACCTGCAGGAGAGGGGGAGCCAGGCTTCATGCTGTTCTGCTGCAGGAGCTGCTGCCTCCCACAGGTGGCAGCCGGGGCTCAGGTGCTGCTGGGGGAGGGCAGGAGTAGGGGTAGGGGGCTGTGGACCTGGGTCCCTGGCCCTATAGCCCTGGCAGCTGGAAGTCCCCTCCAGTGGGCGAGGAGGAGAGGTGTTGGGAGTGAGGAGCAATGGCATGGGGCAGGGCACTGGCATACTAGGGCTACTCAGCACCACAAAGCAGTAAGTGGGGGAAGGGAAGCACAACTGCAGCTGGACCTGTGTCCTGGTGAGCCAAAGGGGCAAGTAGAGCTCTATTTTTCCATGATAAAAAACCCAAAATCAAATGTGAAAAGGTATGGGTATTTAGAATTTGTTTTATCAGACAGACTGAGGCACTGGTAGGCTTCCAAACTGCTTTAAAAGTTGTAAATATATCAATAAAACAATGTGTTCAGCCAATGCCTAGATATACACACAGAGCAGTGTTTCATTTTAATCATAGAAAAAATGGATTTGAGGGGTTCTAATTGGAGAATTTGCGATTTTTAAAACAGAGAAAACCAGGATACCTGGTCATTACACTTCTGATGAGACAACACTATCCAGGATCTAGTGGGGAGGCAGAGAGAGCTGGAATTAATAGCAACAGGAGCCCCTTTCTCTAGCCTCTTTCAAAAACTGAATATTCTTCTTGACCTCATGAGTTCAGAGGCTCTTGTAAACTGGAACTGACCTGTTGTGACAGGAGATACCTTTACATATAACCTTCAGTGGTCACCCTGTACCTTGATAGTCCAGAGCATACTATATAGCATCTAGAAGTACAACATGTTCTGTAGCAGGAGAGGCACATCAGGGTGCATTATGGACACTAGCTGCGTGAACTCCTTATTTATAAATTTAGGTAATTCTTTTAAGACTAGTTAAACCTGACATTAACAGCACACAACATTCAACCGGACATCTGTGAGATTACATGAAGCGCAGCATGCTGATCTAAGCTGTGCCTACTGAACTACAAGTTGAGGTCAGGCTAACCAAAGAGCATGTTATGTCGTCTTCCACCCCCACTGTGTAAGTTTGACAATGTGCTCCTCCCAGGTCAACGACAGGCACTGGGAAGTCTGATCACCCCAGATCAAGTTTCCAAGACTTTCAGATTGACTTTATCATGCATCCGATGTGAAAGTCAGAGGTGCTTTATGTTTCAGGACAGCCCTGCTTTCAAATTTAAGCTGTGAGTGACATTATGGGGACCAAGAAATCATTTTTAACAGTTAACTGGGGGGGGCACAAAACATACTGCTAGGTTGCACAAGGAATGGGAAAGTGCTAATGTGGAGATTATATTCCCTTAGCATAAAAGGATGAGGTGGCTTTCTCTGGTATACTACACAAATCTCACCCATCAAAAAACAAAACAAAACATGGCACTGGAGCAGGGACAGAGAAGGGTAATGAGATTGATCAATGACCTGGAAAACTCAAAGGAGATTAAGATTAGGATTATTTACTTTATCAGAGGAAGAGAGGACACAATAAAAGGACAGAGTGTAATGAACAGTCTAGAGCAGTAGGGCCAACCTATTTGGCAGGCAGGCAGGCCATGAATTAGCTCTGCACCCTATGAGCGCTATTCCAATATTTTCCCATGCCTGATCTGTTCTCTTCTTTCTGTTCCTTGCCCTAATCTGCTGCTATGTTCCCTGTCCCCTCCCAAATCTACCATGTACCATGTGCATACAAACTGCCTGTGCCACTTGTGGCACCTGTGTCCAGGTTGGCCACCCCTGGTCTAGAGAAGGAAGATCCAATATTTCTATCTTCCCCCTCTCCTATCACAAGAATGAGATGATGTTCTATTAAATGAGTAGGGAGAGTAAACGGAAAACTTGAATTCAAGTGTTGAACATGCTACCCTGGCAAGTCACCAAAGCCAAGAACTTAATATTCAAATAGGAACTGGACATTTGTATAGATAAACACCATGCAGAGTTATTTCAATTAACAAAAGCAATTTTGTATGAATACTGCTGCTGTTCTCCCTTTGCAGTTCTTCCCAAGAGATGTGTGAAGCCAGTTAAATTGGATTTTCTAGAGAGGGAAGCCTGTCTAGGAATAGACACTAGTGTGCTGGAGGGGAAGTTACATGGGGCCATGGTGGGGAACAGGGAGCTTTGGTTACTGGGTACAAGTATGATGTGGGCTGAACATATGGCATTTGAGCAATAGCTCTTAAAGTGTAGACCATGGGACACAGGATTAGGCATGGAAAGCAAAGCAGAGGGAGACACGGCGGCCGGGG